ACAAAATTAGATTATAAACAAAAATTTAAAATTTTAGTAGCCAAATTTGCCTGCTAAAATCTACAGTTTAAGGAATAAAAATAAAAGCTAAAAATTAATAAGAATAATGTTAATGACTATTTTACTTTAAGAATAAATACTGTAGTTTGAAAGTTCTTACCTGCTGGTGGTTGTAAACAAATGATGTATATTTCTTGTGATATATTGAGATAATTAACAGATTATTTTTCTTTATCTTATGATAGTTATCACTTTTTTTTTAAACTGCTATATATATTTTTTTTTAAACCACTATATATTTTTTTTTAATTAAACTACTTGATACTTTTTTTTTTTTTTTTAACTAAATTACTGGATAACCTTTTTTATTCTTAAAATTTTTTTTGATAATGCTTTATTAAGTCATTACAATAACTATCTTTTAACTTTCTGTACTATCACGTAAAAGATATTTGCTTCAGTTTTTTTTTCTAAAAAAATTATTCATGTCTCTCGATAATGTCATGCTATTTGACAATAAGAACTCTAATCTGCAATACTCAATTACTTTTGAATGTGATTATTATAGTGAGGTAATAATTGATTATGAACTTGTAGAAGTCAACAATGAAGAGCAAGAACTTGCTAAATCAAATCATGTGAATAAAGAGTTAGATATAGGAAATAGTAGAGAAAGGGTAGGGATAGGGGCTGGAGTAGAGGTAGAGGCAAGGATAGAGGCAAAGGTAGGGTAGAGAAAGTATAAAGAGTAAAAAAAAGAAACTATCAGTAATATACAAATTAGTAGTATAGACAACGATATAGTATTAGAATCACCTACATTTAATCTGATATGAAACTTATGACCACTTCACAAAAGATATGCAATGGTTTCCCATAAATATCAACTAGGAGTCGTTACTCCACTTTCACTTTTTCAATTGTTTTTTACTAATGATCAATTACAGAAAATAGTTAAAAATACTAATACATACAAAAGTGTAAAAGGTAGAGTGGATGGTCGTGAATGGAAGTCATTGACTTTAAATAAACTAAAAATTTGGTTTGGTTTAATTATTTACATAGGTGTTTATCAAATTGGTACAGTGGAAGATTTATGAAATTAGGATAAAAAAAAAGCTATGCATGAGATTAAAAAATTTATGAATATGGTTAGGGGAGTGCTGGAAATCACGTGATTTATACTATGGATACATGGTCAGACAAGAGATCACGTACATATATATATATATAATATAGTATATAATCAAATATAATGAAATATATAATATACGTGTATAAATTATATATATATATTAATAAATCTCTAATATTAAATAACTTTTGATCTACTGGTCCAATTTGGATGATTTAACTGTCAAAATGTTCGTCTTGATAAGACGATTCTAATGAGTCCAAAATCGCTAAAATCCAATTACAGAATCCTGAGATCGTTAAAGTTTCTTGTACTATTTTGTATATAATAAAATTAATTTTATT